GAAACGTGTAAGTTGCAACATGGAATGACAAATACAAGAATTTCAAGGGAGGCGAGGATTTAATTTCTTAGTTGCAGTGAGTGTCGTGTTGTAGCTCAGGCGGTTAGTCGCTGAATTATCATGGCTGACATCCCGTTGTAATCTCACGGATTTCCGTGGGGGATTTATGGCAGGCAGAAGGCACGAGGGAGGGCGGATTTTCTCCGGGATCTTCGGCTGTCCTTGTCAGTGATCACCGTTATCACCATTAACTGGTGCAGTGATAATTGTGCGCTGAAGCCATGCTATGACCTCTTGTTCGCCGTGAACCTCAAACTGAAGATCGCTGAGTTAGTTTTATTTTCCCTGAGGTAAGAACCCGGGGATAGAACAGCAGACCGATGGCTGGTTATAAGAGCGTTTTTAAGTCCTGCATCTAAATTCAGTCACTCCAAGGCCGTCTGTATATCTTTGTTCATTTAACGACACTGTATGTATTACGTAGATTATATATTTTCAAATGACGAAAATGATTATAAATCATGTACTGTGGCGAAATTGCCACGGTGGTCTAGCGGTTAGAACGCTGGCCTTGTAATCCTGGGGTCTCGGGTTCGATTCCCGGTGGTGCCCGAATTTATAACTTGTGTTGGGCAAGGCCGTGGCCTAGGCAACACGGAGTTTTCCTCATTGGCATCCCAACAATTACTCCATTCACGCACAGAAGAAGGCAATGGCAAACCGCTTCTGGATCATCTGCCAAGAACGTATATGAACAGGTCCCAGTCCGAGAAAAGGATGGAAGGATCCTGTTCATATGGACCTGTCGTCAGACAGAACACTAAATAATAAAATAAGAAACAGATCCTCTGAGATGACGTCATCAGCACCTAACCTAAGATGAGTCAGATTAGTTGGTTTTTGTCTACACAAAAGTTAATTAACACTGACAGTAAAGTCTGGACACGGAAGGCCTTATCTCCAAATATCACAAGACCAAAGTTAATTAAGTTGTATTGTATAAAATTCGAGATAAGAGGTGAAGTTAATTGTTGTGTCTTGTGTTTGTGTTATCATGCATGTAATAAGGAGGCGAAAGGTTTTGTAATGACGTTCATGATTTGAGCCCTGGAAAGCAGTTTTGTGGTGGACGTTATTCAGAAACGTCCAGTCGTTTACTGAAAGTGTTGTGATTTCCTTTAGTGTAATTCGCAGCGTGCCATTCAGAACACAGATTAAAACACAATTTGTCCGTGCAGCTTAGAAATGCCTACCTCCAGCCGATGTTTTGCAGAATGAGATTTTTAATTTTGAAACAAGATTTGAAAAACGTCTGTTCCCGGCTCGAGTATATGGAGCTTCCAAGCGAGACATAAACGCGTTTTTCAAAAAGCGAATCCAAACTTGCGCGAAATGGAATGTAAGCCACGCGGCGTCGAGGAACTTTTCACACAAAAACGTTACTGAGTCACACACTTGAGACTTTCAGGCGACAATGATTATGTCCGGCGTTGAGACCCCAGACGATAACAGTTACCACACGATTAGTTTTCGTCGACACATTACCGATTCGTCCCGCGCAGCTACAGCTCCCGGAGAAGGGTACCGACTTCGACTCCTGTCCTGTCATTCGTTCAGAATCATGCGCTCATATACGTTTAGACAACGCAACCTCTGTATCTGAAACGGATTCTTTAAATAACCAAAGAATGGAGCAGTCAGGACGTTCTGTTGAGTTCTGAATGACTTCCTTGTTGAGTAACCTACTGACTGTAATGGATTGGTGTATTCAAAAAGAAAGACGGAAGGTAAATTTCAGTATAAACGCAGTAGGCTGTGGTAAATTCCATTCGTACGCTTTCCTGCCTTGATAAATCAGACTTACCGACGATCACCATGTGCCCTCGACTTAGTTAAAGGGCGTTTTATAAACTAACATTCCATCTGTCAATCCGTAACTCATTACATCGAGGTCGTGATGCCTTTTTTATCTGCCTGATGGACAGAGCTCAACAGAAAAGTCGAAACCTTCCATTGGGGGAGCAAAATCTTTCGATTTCTGTCGGCGAGGGAACTCCCACCACGACCCGATGTCATTAAACACTTCTCTGTCGGAACTTGTGACTATGGAGCTCAGCAAATGCACAGATAGACTTAATTTGTATCTGAAATAAGTCAGTAGGAAGGCAAATGACTTAAAATCGGAATGGAAATGTCAAATGCTTTTACTCGAAGTTGGATTGTATCTTCTCTTTAATATTTGGAATTTTAGGGTCTACTGCGTAGTTCGTCCGACTTACCTGTCTATTGAAATGGCGACGAGCGTGAACACGCTGGCAGCGACCGTCACATTGGCCACGAAGTTGTTCACAGTACAGTACGCGGCTCCAAACGGCCAATCAGAGTTCAGCATGAAGATGAAGTTGAAGATGCAGTTGAGCAGTGACATCATGAGGTCCGATATGCTCAGGTTGACCAAGAAATAGTTGGTCACCGTGCGCATTTGTCGGTGAGCTGGAACAAGGACAAGAACTTAGTGTTACTTGTTGGACACCGAGGCATTGACATGTCAATCGCCTTTGTTCTTCTGAATTACCAGAGACGAGGCCGTGGGAGTGCCCATGATTCTGCATAAGTTTAACAGCAGGATGAGTCAACAGACGTCGGGTCGAACGATTTCTTTAGTTTTCATGCCCGAATGTTTACGATGCGCGTAGAGCCTGACCAATGTAATCGTTTCTACCTTTGGAATCCATAAATAGGTCAAGGCAGTTTGTGTAAAAATAGAAAAGTCACATCCGTTGCAGACGAATTTCCGGTAATTACATCAGGCCAACCTGCTCAAATGTTAACAAACAAACCAATCAATGTACTTCTTCGGATACTAAACCATATTTATTGTAATATCAGAGAAAAGCTTTTGGATCGACCAACAACGGGTTATTACTGATTTAATTTGGGATAAAATAACAACTGAAGGAGGTTCCCAGTTCACTTTGGGTCGAATATTACCTGGGAGCAAACCCAATTACATCGGACTTGGTTCTTTCTGAAATTAAATTTTACTAAATTCACAGAAGGAATTCCAAGGGCTGTAAATTAAGAACTTTGAAGGTTTTAATTTCATGAATAATTATATGACTTAGTATTTATAAAGCCATGTGTAGTAAATTCACACTCATGAGGAAGTTAGGAGGAGATTAAATTCTGGAAATGCTTGCTACTTCTCAGTTCAAAATATTTTGTCTTCCCGTCTGATTTCTAAGAACCTGAAAATTAAAGTATGCAAAACAGTAATCTTGCCTGTTATTTTGTGTGGGTGCGAAACGTGGTCTCTCACTCAGAGGGAGGAACACAGATTGCAGGTGTTTCAGAATTGGGTATTGAGGAGGATATTTGGGCCTAGGAGAGAAGACGATGGGGCGTGGAGAAAACTGCATAATGACGAGCTTAAAAATCTGTACTCCTCCCCCAGTATTGTCCGGGTGATTAAGTCGATGGATGGGACAAGAGGTGTGCACCGGGTATTGGTTGGGAAGCCTGAGGGGAAGAGACCTCTGGGAAGACCTAGACGTAGATGGGAGGATAATCTCAGGCGGGATCTATGGGAGATAGGAGTTGAAGGAGACTGGATTTTGTTGGCCCAGGACAGGGTCCGGTGGAGAGCTTTGGTTAATTCGGTGATGAACCTTCGGGTTCCGTAAGCCATCTGGTTGGTTGGGTCCACTATTTGGGAAGCCTGAGGGGAAAAGACCTCTGGGGAGACCTAGACGTAGATGGGAGGATAATGTCAGGCGGGATCTATAGGAGATAGGAGTTAGGAGTTGAAGGCGATTGGATTTTGAGGACAGGGACCGGTGGAGGGCTTTGGTTAATTCGGTGATGAACCTTTGGGTTCGGTAAGCCATCTAGTTGGTTGGGTCCACTATTTGGGAAGCCTGAGGGGAAGAGACCTCTAGGGAGACCTAGACGTAGATGGGAGGATAATCTCAGGCGGGATCTATGGGAGACAGGAGTTGAAGGAGACTGGATTTTGTTGGCCCAGGACAGGGTGGAGGGCTTTGGTTAATTCGGTGATGAACCTTCGGGTTCAGTAAGCCATCTAGTTAGTTAGTTAGTAGTAAATTCACGTATTGCTGTATGAAGTACAGAATCGTTTCCGAATTGTTTTACATTGTGTTTCCTTCATTCTTATGTTGCACATTATTATCACGTTTAAAACCCGCAGATATCCCCTTCGTGCACCCACCTGATGCTAGTAGAACCGAACAACCTGCTACGAGTGGCGCCACTGAGGCCGGAGTCCTCGGCTGTGACTACGCTAACCGCTTAATGATCATCCTACCTGCGGGCTGCCTCTCTGTCTCTTGTAATACAAGACTCTCCCTTCAATTAACACTCCCGCTTTGCTGTCAACGCACAAAGAGTCAGGCTCGCTCGTCTTCTGAACAGAAAAGAGTCGCATTTCTTTTCTTGTCTCATTACAGTTTTCTGCTGAATGTCGTGTTGTACGTCGAACACAATTTATTTCGCGTGGAGGAGGTGTGACGTTAAAACGGCTTCGCGAGGTCGATGTATCACAACCCAGTGGCTGCAAATGGATCGATGATTCTGTGGAGATTTGTACATTTCGATATCCCAGGTTCCTGACAGCGGTTTGTCTCGACTGTAGAGCGCACGCTACTTCGGTTGTAACTCGTAGAAGCACGAGGCGATGTCAGGAGTGAAATTCCACAAGGAATTGCAGTGTAAGTCTCTTTCAGGGAGAGTGAAGTACTTTAACACGCACTGTCCTCTATATAATTGCTAGGCAAACTCTGAAACCAAAGGTTTCCAGTCTTTGCCTTAAAGTTTAATGACATTTTAATAGAATCTTTTTATGCTAAACCAGAATTGGTACTTCGCCTGCAATGCATCATCAATACCAAATGCTATAGAAATCCACGAGATAACTTTTAGCACACAAAAAAATTCAGACGGATGGACGGACAAATAAGCAGGCATAATTTCCTTCATAATGCGACACTTTATAGGGGCAGGAGTCATTGTGGCCTCAGAAACAGGCTTCTGTTGGACAGCCGTGCGCTGCTATCGCAACATCGTCGTCTCAGCTGGGGTGATCGCGTCTTTCGGAGTCACGTGATTGACGAGAATTGTTTTCGAGCGGTTACGGGATCTGCGTGGCCGCGATGCACATCGGTTGACGTTGATTGATGTTGGAATATCCAGATAGAGACAGTTATTTGAATGATTTCTTTTCGCTTATGAACCTCGGATCAGTCATGCAGTGTCCTCTTGAGACCGTGTGTTCTACTCCATAGGCTTTTGTGGGAATGATTTTCCTTCAGAAGAGTAATTCAGCACAAGCCACTCGCTCAACAGCTGAAGGAACTTACTTAATTGTTTTTGTTGGCGAGGAGACATTTATTCTACGATTTGTCACTTATAATTAACAGTTTATTTACGTTGTTGGCTGATTTTTAAACCGGACACTGAACCACGAATTGCCAATTTACGAGGTGCGATCTGAAAGTTTCCAGACTGCGCCTATTAAAAACCCGTACACTTATCTCAGGTATTAAATTCATCCATCACCCTCGAAGTAGTTCCCCTGGGAGTGAACACAACGATCCCAGCGCCGCTGCCAAGCCTGGAAGCATCCCTGGAAATCTTTCTTTGTCAGCCTGCCAAGCACCATCTGCGATTCTGTCTGAATCTCTTCTATCGTCTCAAATCGCCTTCCCTTTAGCTGAATTTTCATCTTTGAGAAGAGGAAACCTTAGAAAGGAAGTTGGGGTCGGTTCTTGCAAGATCTTTCAGCTCCTGACAAACGAGAAGTCGATTCTGCTTCTGGTCCTCAGACAGGATGCGTCGCATGTGGAGTTCTTCCTTTAGAATCAGCTGACAGGTCCCAAAGCCTATCCCAACAATGTCGTACAAGTCGTTGATGGTACGACGTCGATCTTCGTAACATTTTCGGGCGTTGTGCTCGAAGATGGTCGTCCAGAACGCTCGTCATCATCGACAGAGGTTCGGCCATTTTTAAAACGTGAATGCCACACAAAAGTTTGTGCACGACCCATTGCGAACTCCCCAAATGCTTGCTTTAGCATTGCATAGGTTTCCGTAGCCGTTTTGGCGAGTCTTTGGCAAAATTTGATGCACACGCCATTCCGAAATCGCAGGAGGGTCGGTGTAATGCACTACCAAAACGCCCGTAACTAAGAAACAAATGCTAATTCGATGATGCCGGCTGGCACACTGATTCACTATGAATGTAGGCCGCACCCCCTAGCGGCAGAAGCTCGTACTACATCCGGTTCGCCCTCTATTGACACAGTCTTGAAACTTTCCGATCGCACCTCGTATGTGGTATTTTGAAAATAAATCATGCTTCTACTCTGCCTTGGAATCCGCACCTGAATTTGAGATCAATTAAAACGTTCATTTCAGATGTTTCATTAATTGGCGTTTTTTAAGAAGGCAAGAATTGGGCAGACATCTCCGCTTGGGAATGCAGACTTCCGAGATAGTCTCTTGTAAGTTCGCATTCATCATTGGTCTTGAAGTTAATTTATTGCAGATAGAAATCAGTATCTGGCATAAGTAATTAGCGTAGCACACATTACACTGCACTGTTCTTTAAAGGTACGTGACAAAGGTTGAGTGATTTTACCAGCATTATATCGGAAATTGCCAATTTTCTGGGGTATGTTTAATTTTCTTAATTACTATGACGTTTCGAAACCTTTCTCTGCTTCTGTCTTCAGGTGACTGGTTGAACATCGCACTGATAGATTCACTTGCATTACTGTTCTTTATTACATGACTGAAAAATGCCCCGTTATTCTTGACGGGAAATTTTAAAAGAGTACGTACACACACATTTTTCTTGCAAAGTGTAAGGAAAGAGCTTGTATAAATAAAAACCACGTTTTCTTTGCTTAATTGTGAAGGCTGTGAAGCTTTAACACGTAAATATGTTTTGTTGGGTTATGAATAGTAGGTCGTGACTTTTAAGTCACTGAGTTGCTTCGTAGATTAAAAGTAAGCAAAGATGTGTAACGAAAACATAAAATTCTTATTCATTTTTGCCTAACCAAAGGATAATATGATTATGTAGTACAATCTGCAATATCTCGTATCAAGATTATAATATCCGTGATGTGTTGATGACGTCCATGTACGTATTAGGCAACGGATCAATGATCACCATCTGGCACTTACGTATTATGTAGATAGACCAATAAGGTCTGTTCGGATAAAACCCGGATCAGTCTGAATACTAATTTAGTATGTTTTATGTATATATTAAATCTTGTCCGTCTAATCACAATACATTCTTATTAAATATTAAAATATTACAATAATTAAAATTTAAAATATTAAATGATGTTCTTTATCGAAATATTCGATTTACATTAGACCATCATTTTTCATGTTTCACGACATGTTTCAGTTCCTAAAAGAACCATCCTCAGGTGTATATAATTATATAAAGCTTCAAAACGATA